GAAAAAGACTCCCCACTGAGCCTGGAGCTAATGCAGGACTGGATCCCAGGACCCTGAGATCATGACATGAGCCAAAACCAAGAGTCAGTCACTTTAACCGACTGAGCCACCCAGGCACCCCAATAAATGACTATTATTACTCTGTACTGGGACATCTTGTGGCATTTGAGTCCTTTGATTTGTTCTTCTAGCACCATTTGTATTAACTGCTATCTTTAGTAATTGAAATTTTTTTTAGCACCCACCTATCTGCATCACTCTCTGGACAGTCATGGGCTGCTTTTAAAAATATTTTATGTTGAATTGCTATTTATTTCTGAGCTAAATGTTGATCCATTGTTTTGTAATTGAGAATTTGGGAATTTTATGGATTATAAAAGCAATGGATCTTATGCTAGGTTTATTGGTAGTATCTAGAATAATACCTTCAGCATGATAATTGCACAATACCATACTTGATTGGTCAATATGTAAAACTGATTATAAATACTGAATTTTTTAGACTGTGTCCTAATAGAAGATACTCTGGTGCAGCTCACTTGAAAGCATCTTTGCCCTGATCCTAAGCTCAACCTGAACCAAACGTTCTATTTTATATTGAGTTAACTACTCTCTCCTCTGTGCCATCCCTGGGCGTGTATACATCTCCCTCTTAACACAGAGTATTAGAATTATTTGTTTACATGCCTTTCCCCCTTATTGAATTGTTAGTTCCCTTTGGGCAGGATCCATCTTATCTCCAGTGCCTAATATGATTCCTAATTCAAAATATAAGCTGAAGGAGGAGAATCACTTTGTATCACTACATAGAACAGTGCCTACATGCAGGAAAGCATTCAATATATTATTGAATGAATAAATTCATGGCAATAGTTGGTGCTCAGTAAATCTTTGATGAGTTAATGAATTAGCTTGCAGTGTGCTTCATTGGCAAAAATCACAATCATAATCCAGAGGTAGTAACTGCATGAGGGATACATATGCCTGCATTTGTTTTTCAAGGTGACCCTCTTCCCTCATCAAGAACATTGAACACCTGATAGTAAACAAGAGTTGAAAGTAAAAAATCCTGTCAAATTGTCATTGGATGAGAGAACAGACAATGAGGAATGGAGGGTGCTACTAGATAACATTAGATTCTTTTTAACCCTATGAATTTCAATACACTGATGTGTGCACATGGATAGAGCCTTTGTCCTTCATGCACTTAGGAAATGCTGCTCAAAAGAGTTTTATAGATTTGCTCTTGTACAACAAATCATTTCTCAAGTTATTTAGGAAAGGGAAGAGGAATTACATGCATAGTAGATACGTAGTTTTCAGATTTTTTGACTTTTCTGTTTCAGCTGATCCCCTACTTGCAGCCTTTTATCAGTTTATTTTTATTTTTTATTTTTTATTTTTTTAAGATTTTATTTATTTATTTGAGAGAGAGAGAATGAGAGAGAGCGAGTACATGAGAGGGGGGAGGGTCAGAGGGAGAAGCAGACTCCCTGCTGAGCAGGGAGCCCGATGCGGGACTCGATCCAGGGACTCCAGGATCATGACTTGAGCCGAAGGCAGTTGCTTAACCAACTGAGCCACCCAGGCACCCCCTTTCATCAGTTTATTAACAGATCATGGATCATCTTAGGAAATGCAGAAATCCAGTGTTCTTCTGATTACCTGCTCTCTTCTTCCAGTAATGGATGGACATTCATGTTTTCATCTGCCTGTAAAAGAAATCTGATAGTTGGAAAAGTAATTAAGAATACAACATGATTATTTCAATAATAATAAATATATATTTCATATATATTTGAACCATCATGCCAAACAGAATGAAAAATCACACAAAAACCTACCTGCCCTGCCCAGGCATGTCTCATTGGCTCATAGCTGCATCCAAGATGGGAACAGTATTGGAAAATCCATAGAGAGGCACGACGGCAGGAGGCAGACATTGGAATGATGCCTGCGCTGCTGGCTTCTCAAAATATGACTGAAGAGGCCGTGTCTGGCATTCGCTTGCTCTTCAGAGCTGAGGCTTTTCCTTCCCAGTAGATGGGAAGGGACTTTTGACTTGACTGGAGGGGGAGCATTCAGATACATCAGTGTCTTCCAGATTGCTGCTTTCCATTAGTTTTTGATGCATTGTACATATTTCCCCCTTCTCATTCCTAATTCCTTGGTTTACTATCTCCTTTCTTTTTTTTATCTTTTTTCTCTTTTTTGCCTTTTACAGGGTCCCTGGTCTCTTGTTCGAAATGCTTAAAATGAGTGTTAGCCTTGATCCATGAGCATCTCTCTTCTAGTCTAGTCTAGAGGTGCCTTGTCAGAAGGGGGTCTATCTTGAGTTTGTGGAATCAGATGAGAAACAGTCAAGTAGCAACTTAGAGGAAAATGGAAAGGATTGTCGATATAGCCCAGGTAGTGGGCAATATTGACTTTTGGTGCCAGAAGACTTTGAAGTACTGTAGAGAGGTCATGGATGTATGTTCAGGAAGCTTTTAAAGTAAATCAATAAAATGCTATCAGATAAAGGCTTCACATGAATGCCAGGAAAATTTTCAGATTTGATGGGGACACTCTGTTGCTCTCACATATTACCTGTGAGTATATACATATATACATATAACTGATAAGTTATAAATATATAATTGTAATTGTGATTATTATTATAAAATAATCCCTCATATAAGCTCCATAAGAACAAGGATTCATGTACGTATCCCCAGCGCTTAGAACAGGACAAGGCACATAGCAGATTCCCAATAAATATTTGCTAAATAGATAAGTGCCACCATGTTTCTGTACTCTAGTCCTAGGTGGACTAGAAGACAGAATTTGTTGTCCGAAAGGCCTGAGTTTTAGCCCTGGCTCTGCCTCTTAGGAGCTGTCTTTCTAGCCCCTCTGAGCCTTAGTGTCCGCATGCACTTCATAGAATTTCTATGGAGGTTCCCACATAAAACGATGAAGCGTTTGAATGGACATTATATGGTTGGAGGTCTGTCTGTCCCCTTCTCACCCTGATGCCCGTTTTTCACCGTCCCTTCGCTCCCCCCTGCCTTCCAGCGAATATCTTTCAAATCAGGGCTCTGTATCTAAGGGTTAGAGTTTTAAGTGGAGAAGGAACTAACATTCTTGGAATGGGTTCTTTTCATTACAAAAATCTCAGGAGACGAAAAGCACAACTGTAAGGCTCATGAACCTCAGGTTTAGAGCAGTGCTGCCGAGTAGCTGCGGCTGAACTGCTGAGAGGAGACAAAAGCAGGGAAGTCCTTTGCAAAGCCTGCCAATCTCTGCCTCCCTGCAGGGTCTGCAGTGGTAAAATGTGTAGGAGATGTGAGGCACAAGGCAGCAGCCAGGTGGTATGCAGTGGGGGCGGGGGTGCAGGGGACACTTTCCTGAGTCACTTAAGAAACAGACCCTTCAAACCATGGGAGGGCTGGAGCTCAGGACAGGGCAGGTGACCACTCTTGTACATGGCCTTCCCACCTCCTTCCACTAAGAAGAAAAGACAGAAGACAGGCAGTAGGTAAAACAGGATGTAAAGTTTATATACAAGAATATAATGTTTATCTGAAATATTTACAGTGTTGGTTAAAGCAATATTTTTACAACTTTTAAAGGTCAACTACTATGTATATTACAGGTAAGCTACAATGGTTTAATTTGCAAAATTAAGTAAAAAAATGTTTTAAACAAAGCTTAAAGTACTCAGGTCAATTATAGAATCTGTTTTGCCCTTTATTCGAAGAACTCATGCTATGATGGTTAATGTGCTTTTGATAAATGGAAGTACTCTACCCAGAAATGCAGTACATGCTACTGTGGTAAGTCCCCAAGGAGGGTGTAAAATAGCAGGTGAATTATTATAAGACTTAGGCTCTGAGTCTCAGGCTGGAGTGGAGAGATGTTGAGATAACAGCCAGCTTTATCTCAACGAGGTTTGTGACCCACAAAAGTTTGGGCCAGGTAGGAAAATGAAGCCATTTGCACGTTACAGCAACCTCAGCTGAAAGTGAAAGTCAGTTGACCCAAACCAAACAGAAAAAAACAAAACAATCAGACCCAAGTCACAGTTGTACCTATTCAAAACTAAAGTGAGCTATTTTAAAAACTTCATAAAAATATTCATGATTTTATTAGTTTGAACATTTCTACAAGATCTGGGTGGGTTTTTCCTGTATATGAAAACAGCTATTCGTGCCTGAGGCCTCCTAAAGCCCTATAAGTCAGGAGATGCTGGGGGTGCAGACGTGCAAAAGGCAAGGGAAGCTGCCCCAGGCTGGCGGCTGGAGCCGCAAGGCCTGTGCTTGGGAAATGAGAGCTGAGGACCCAGAGCGGAAATGGTCCGCCTGGCCCTGGAGCTGGCCTGGGGGGCCGACTAGCACTGCAGCTTGCGGATGCTGCGGGAGATGCGCTTGAACTCTCTCTGCCCCTTCTGCCACCGCTTCACGGAGGTGATCACCAGCTCCCCACCCAGTTTCTGTCCCATGACCAGATAGGGCGCATTGATGTCATTCATCTCTTCGCAGGTGCACTGCAAGCTGTCTTTGAGCCACAGCACTGATTTCTTCAGGTCCCTTTCAGACACACCATTCAGCTTGTAAATGGTCTTGCTCTTGGTCTCCAGGATGATTTTGGTATCTCTGTTGATGTAGGTTATCTCCTTCACTTTTATTTTCAGTGCTACGAAGACAAGAGGGGACAGAATCACACCAGTTGTAAGAAGGGAATACGGTCTAGAGTGGGAGCTTTCCTCACCCCATTTCATTTGTGTGATTGGCCTGGGGGGGAGGGAAGAAGAGCTTCCTGCAGCTAATGAGACTGTCAGGGGCTGCAGGTTGGGGGGGGGGTTGGGAGCTGGGGACAGCAGGTGGCTTCATTTCTAAAGCCTCAAAGGGCTTGCCAGGCACTTTATTTCAAATCAGCCATCCTTTCAAAAGATCTCTTTGCGGGACTCAATTAACTTTTCTTTCTCACCGCCCTTGTGTTCTTCTTGTGTTTGTACGTAGGTTGCATGTGGTTTGCGCTCTCCTCAACAAATGACTTCCCCTATTGGAAACTTCAGCATGAAAAGAAATGCCTGACTCTTAGGTGAAACATGATCCTTCTGTGGCCATAAACTTTAAACTCAATTTATTACGTTGGAGAGGTTTTTGGACAAACCTGTAAGAAGTTATATCACCCAATCATTGTTTTCTAAAGAACAGACTATAGGGAAGGAGAATTGATCTTACAGCAGCTGCATTTGATTTGGTAAAGCAACTAGGAGAAAAAATATCCAAGACTCTAAGAGCACAACGTGTTTAGCTGTAAAAGTGTTTTTCTGAAGATCTCATTCTCATCTGCTATCATTTGCCTGTCCAAGGCCAAGGCGTTTATAGATCATATATGTACCGTTTCCAAAATGTATATGTAGACTCACTAGAATGCTAAGACCAAAAGTAAGTGGTTCACTATAAAAGACACATTTTACAGTCATGAACAGTCGGCTTTGGGAAAGAAAACCCTACAAACATACGTGCTGGAATTAAATTTCAAGACTCCATGAAGGCAAGGAAAGGGTAGAATTTTAAGGCTGGAAAGGATCATTCGGTTGAAATCTCTTGTTGATACACAAAGAATTTGAAATCCAGAGAAGTCAGTGACTTACATGAGGTCACCCAGTTAGGTTGTGTCCTGGCTAAGTCACGTTGTCAGAACGCTGGTCCCCAAACCTCCTCCTCTAACACTATTGTGGTCTCTTAAATTTCTGGTCCTGTTTGGGACATGAACATGCCCAATTGTAATGTAACCTAAGACTCTTAATGACAATGACAAGTGCTCTGTATAGATGATGTGTGAATGGCACTTCCTGACTTTGATGGAGTTTAATGCATTATTTAAATTAGTCATAGAGGAAGAGGGTTTGTGTGTGTGTGTGTATAACTGCTTTGTGGATCTCTCTCTGTCTCAGAAAGGGAATTTGACTAACCATGGCTGTTCCAGCCAACCAGGAAATGAATGAAACTCAACCAGAGAAATCAAGGATGCTGTGATTTGGCCAACGATTGTTTTGTCTGATGTGCATCTAAACCGTAGTACTGACTTCTCAGGGTTTATGGGACTTAAGTCATGGAATAAGTCACATGGAAATGTCACATGTTCCTGATGTCTCTGCATCAGGCCTGGGGTGGGAAGGTTACATGGTGGGAGAAGTGATTATATATTACACAGATAGAACATTTGTGATGGAGCACCTGGTCAAATTAAACATTCATGAGCTCCACACATCAGAAAACCATTACTTTTCACCAGGAGGAAGATTTATTGCTTATCTTTTTCTTGCTATAAAATAATCAACTTTGCAAAAGCTCACCATGCGAAAACAGCAGGCATTTCCTCCCTGGATTTTCAGCTGGGGCCAAATGTAGGGAATCAAAGCCCTAAAATAACTTTTCCTGCCCTGGAAGATGTGAGTGGGGATGCAGAAGTGGTAGGAGGCAGGGGTAATGGTAATCTGATCCAACAGCGCAGGTTGGATGCATAGGCAGGCAGCTCTGGGCTATTCTTTTCTGCACCGGTAGGTACTTTTACCATTGCAATAAGGAGGCCTACATTTTCCCTGTACTTCAGGAGTGTAGTGGGGAAAGAGGGTGATGCTTTCGTGGATGATTTAAGTAAATTAGATTTCTACCCTTGTTGCTTCTACCCTTCCATTACTTTTCAAAGTATAGAGGCAATATAGAATGCTGCTTATAAACCAGGAGTATATGATGCACTTCCTACAGTTCAGGTTCATTATCCCTTTTGGGACAAAAATTAGTGTGGGGAAATAGAAAACATAGCTGCGAGGTAATCTGTGTGTGTGATACCTTAAATGTGATGATATCCATGTTGTTTTGAAAGGCTTTCTCCTCTAAGGAGAGAGAACACTAGGATACACACACACACACACACTTTTTTGGGGACCTGGGTCTTGATAGAACATCCTTAGGAAGTGGGTCTTTTGTAAGGGAAGCCATAAAGCAAGTATTAATGTGTGTGTGTGTGCGCACATGCATGTGCCCTAATTTCAATCATTTTAGAGCCCCATGATATAACCAACTTTTTCATGGAAAGTCAGGAGAGAGATCTGGGTTAAATCTAGCGCAAAGGACGTAAGCTACCAGAAGAAAATGATATTTTATATACATTTCAATGTACATTGTATTAAAATTATATTTTTCTATTTTCCCCTCAATCAAATCTTGTAGCATGGAAGCTCAGACGTGTGTTTTGGTAAGGCTCTGGAGATCTGAGATTGCTGCTACCAGCATGCCTGGCCTTCTCTACTCCTTACAGTTGTATATATTTAAATACAGACATTCGAAACCCTATCATCCCATTTGTGGTTCTTCCTGAGGGGATAGATTGGTTAGGACTTAGGACTGCCTCCTTTTTTTTTCCCCTTCCTTGGCAGTGTGAAGTTTTTTCTAAAGCTATGGCTGTTCTAGGATCAGCTAAAGTTAAACCCAGGACACTTCTGGAAGAGACCCAGGGTTGTAAGGAACAGTGATTGGATTGTTTCCAGAGTTTCAGGGACCTGATCAGGTCTGAGATTGCTGGGATGGTAAGTTGTAAGGAGAGAGTGGGAAGGCAGCCCCCAGCAGTGAGTGCTCAAGTGATTTCTCTCAGTTTCAAGGACTTTGTTGAGTACACAGAAATGTTAAATACAGATCTGTTAGACCCCATTATTGTTGGATAGAACAGGAACCATATCTGCTTACCAGTAAGTTCAACCTTCTGCCTGAATACTTTTAAAGGATACCAGCCTCTCAAAAACATCAAAAGGTGCCTACTCTTGGAATGGGATGAAGACAAGAATGTCCCAGTGAAAGTCTGGGTGAAGTTCATGGCCACTCCTGACTCCAAAGTTAGCACTGATTCTGTGTCTAGCTGCCCTCACCTTGGGGCCCTCAAGACAGTGGAGAGGTGCTGATGAAGCTATGTGTGGACAGTCTCCATTCCTCTTTCCTTTTAAATACTCTCTTAAGGGTAGTGACCTATACACTATGAACCTGGGTAACAAATCACACACATTATTGTCCCCAAGCACTATGTCATATGGCACCTTTCATGTATTTTGCCAATGTAAATTCCTAAACTGTATTTCTTCTTCTTTTTAAATTTAAAGAACTCCTCCCCCCAAATTATTAACCAGTACCTTGGATGTAGTCACTAGTCACATAGTCACTAGTGATGGAATGCAAAGGAGCAAAGTGTTATGGGCTATGAATAAGGTAAAAATATTTGATGCTGGAGTAAATTTTTATTTTTGGCTAACTGAATGCCTTGAATCTGTTTTGCTGAGGCTAATATTTACATGTTTCTATTCTTGGTACTCATATCAAGTGACTGAAAGAGAACATGGCCCCAAATTATGCTTACTGGCAAGAAAAGCCAAAGTGAAATGAAAAATGTGCCATCGAAAATTCCTAATTTGAGTAATTCTCATTATTTGATTATTGCTTAGCAGAACAACGAATCTCACCTAAAAAGATACAACTCAGGGCAAGATAGTTAAATAGGGAGGCAACTGTGATAGAATAAGGTAGAGGACTTTGAGAAAGATGAGCTATGATGGTATTTTACCCTAGTCTTATCCAGTAACATCTTTATTCCTTTAAGTTTTACTAGTAAATAAAACTTCTGAATGTGAAATCTTTTGTTGGTGGAGGTATATTACTTACCGAAATCATTTTTACAAAGAGTTTCCATTATGTCGTTGTCATCCTCATTTTTATTTTTGCAGGCTTCACATACCTTTGGAGCTAGAAATGTGAAAAATTAGTAAATTTGCTTACAAGGGAAACAGCAGGTGGCATCTGTAAACAACTCAAAGGGGCTTATCCAGACAAGAGTAGCAATTGTATGGTAAGACCCCAGCCTCTGCCTCCTTTGAAAAGGACTACTCGTTCCTAAGAAAGTCTTCCATGACTCCTGTTTTTTGATGGGTAAAACAAGAATGCCTATAGTTGTGTTTAATAAATGACGAATCACCCCCCGCACCAAAGAATGTTGTGGGCAAAGTGTACAGAGGGATTTGGTTTTTTACCTCTTCCTCCCCACCCCCAAACAAATTCTGTCCCTGAAAAAGTTGCTCCCAAAGCCTCTCTGAAGAATCTCAAGGGGTTTTGGAAAATCGGCTACCACAAAATATGGCCACAAGATTGTCTTTTTCGGCTGCAGGACACCAGTGCAGCTCAGTCTCTGCTGGCCTCTTCAGGAGAGTTGTGTCTCAGGGAGGTCCCTTCACGATATTTTCAAGTCTGGACAGGGAGAGGTGGCTAGTGCTTATAGGGGTTACCTAGGGGCTCTTCCCTCTTTGGAAACACACCTCAGCAACTACAGCAGCCTGCTCTCACTGGTTCTGCATCACCCGTGTGCTTTCTGTCAAGTGTGTGGCTGAGTCAAGCTGCTTTTATTTATTTTATTTATTGTTATCTTCCTCCCTGGTCAGGTTCTTCTTGCTCCTCTTTGTCCATTTCAAACTCTCAAAAACAAACAACCCTCCACCCCCCAAAAATCCCAAATCAAAAAAACAATCAGCCAAACAAAAAACCCAAAGCTTTTTCTGAAGTGAATCATAATTGAAGCAAACTGTCTATGGGGGTCTGACCAAATGCAGGAATACGCGCTAGCACAAGGATCGGAGAGCCTACTAAAAGCTCTTCTAAAAGAATCTGGTTTGGGGGGAAAAAAGAAAACATACTATTCCCTTTCTTGCATTTATAAATGTGCTAATGCTAGGTCTAAAATTTAGATAAAATTTGATTTTCATTAACAAGAAATTGAATTTTTACAGAAAAAAACTTTGTGACTCATGATGTAAGAGATATGTATCAAATTAGAAAAATTGCAGGGCATATTTTGAAGACCATAAACTTTTATTTTGAAGGGGGAAAATGGCGATTTGGAGAAATGTAGTTTATAATATTGGTGCTGATGGTGGAAAGAAATAAAAACAAAAGTAACACACATAAAACTGTCCTTAATTCCTCTCACTCAAACAAAATGAAACATTTCCAATTAGGAGCTCTAGGAATGTATATAAAATGTTACTAACCTGTATTGGTTGGTCTGTGGTATATGTTGGACAAATGTTTGAAATATGCCAAACATTTGCAATAAATTAGAAATCTAACCAATAAGATGATTGCAAACTCGAGGTGCCTGCCAGGAAAGATTGCTAAACAACTGTGCATTTTCTTTAACCAAGGATGGCTATAGGAAAACAATTAAAGATTGAAAGAGAGAGGCTGCTGGAGCCCTGCAAGGGATTAGGAAGCTCTCTTTCCATGTCAGGGGGACCTGAATCAGCTCAGACACATTGTGTATGTTTTTCTTTCAAGAAGAATATCAAGAACCCATGAGGTTTTCATTGCTTTTAAGGTTTTTGCACAGGACCTCCCCCTCTGTTTTCTAAAAACCTGGGAAACTCTCTTTTGCACGATTTTCTCCAGTTAATTAAAACCATTCCTAAGATATAGGCAGATTAGTGATAGAAAAATGATTCCTGGAGATTCCCTTTATGACCCCTTCCTTAGACACCCAAGCAGTACAACCAGTGCTCAATCTTCAACTTGCTGCGAGCCAGTCCGGCTCTTATTTCCAAAACCTAAGTCGGCAAGGAACAACAACAATACCTTAAAAGACTATCTGTGCGTTTTGGCTATCCTGCCTGTATGGGAATGTTTCTGTGCCTAGAATTCTGCCCGGTGGTAAGAACGTGTTGCATGAGGCTGGGCGAGGAGTCCCTGGCCAGGGTGCTCACTACCAACTCCACACAGGACCACTTCTAACGCTCTCAGAATTGTGGCCCCAGGGCTTAACATCTTTAAAAATAACTGCATATCTCTACGGAAAAAACGCCTTTCAGTTCTTCGTTTTTTCTTTTTTCTTGTTAACTGTCTCTAAGAAAGCAATTGGTGTAACTCGGAAGGGAATGAGAGGCGTGTGTGTGTGTGTGTGTGTGTGTGTGTGTGGTGTCTCAAATTTGTCACGATGACACACGAGAGCAAGAAGAGCGTCTGCCCCACCTGAAACTGGCACCCCTGGCGGGGACACAGCGGGATGTGGGGTGTGGGCCGCGACATTCTCCCCAGAAAGCCTTCAGCGGACCTGGGTGTGGGCGGGGAAGTGGGGCCGGAGGTGGGGGGTGGCGATACGGGGAAAGGCTTACCTTCCTCGGTGGCCGGCAGAAGGTGGTCGCTGCTAGCGAGAGGTATGCAGAGGTCGTTGTCCTGGGGGAAACGGTCGCACTCGAGCATGTCCGGCCAGGGGAAGCCGAAGGCGGACATGACGGGAGCGCAGCGGTCCTTCACCTGCACGCAGAGAGAGTGGCACGGCTGGATGGTTTCGTCCAGGTCATCGAGGCAGACAGGGGCGAAGAGCGAGCACAGGAACTTCTTGGTGTCCGGGTGGCACTGCTTCATGACCAGCGGGATCCAGGCGCCCGCCTGCTCCAGCACCTCCTTCATGGTCTCGTGGCCCAGCAGGTTGGGCAGCCGCATGTTCTGGTACTCTATGCCGTGGCACAGCTGCAGGTTGGCCGGGATGGGCTTGCAGTTGCTGCGCTTGTACGAGAAGTCGGGCTGGCCAAAGAAGAGCCCGCGCGCCGAGCCCAAGCAGCAGTGCGAGGCGAGGACGAGCAGCAGCAGCGAGCCAGGGCCCTGCGGCATCGTGGGCGCGCGACCCCCGCGGGGCGGAGAGCGGAGTCGGGGAAGCGGGAGGCAGACGGGGCTGAGCTCGACCCGGCCGGCTCGCTCTGCTCGGCGCGGCTCGGGGGCCTGGAAAGCCGGCGGCCAGGCGACGGGAGCGCCGAGACGCCGGGCGCGGGGAGGACTGCGCGGGAGAGACGCTGTCCGCTCCGCTTCGCGCGGCAAGCCCGAGCTCAGCTCCGGGGGGCTCCGACCCGGGGGAGCAGAGTGAGCCGCTGCTGGGGCCCAGCCAGAGTTTTCTTGGCCTTTTTTATGCAAATCTGGAGGTGGGGGGAGAAAGGGAGGAGCCAGTTGAGAGTAATCCGAGGAGGGGTGGTCACTACTCTTTTGGTCTGGTTTTCCCTTGAGAATGCCCCTCACGCGCTCCCTGGAAGGAAATTCTGCCCCCACCCCCTTCAGATGCTGCTGATCGTGTGCTCCAGGATTGCTTCAAACAACAAACAAACAAACAGACAAGCCTGGCAGCTGCGCGCCACGGTGGGCGTGCGGAGCGCGGGCTGCAGGAGATAGGGTAACGGCGGCGGACGCGATGTGCGGCCTCGCCACCAGGTCCCGGCGGGAACGCGCTCCGCCCCCTGCGAGGCCAGGTCGGGGTTTGTTTGACCCCGGCCTGAAGTTTCTGCTTCGACCCCCGCGCTGCGCGGCGGAGCTGCCTCTCTCGGAGCGGAGAGCCGCAGCCCTCGGGCTCTTTGTGCCTTCGTCTCGCGCCCGGGATTTGCTCGCTCGAGGCCGCCTCCGCGAGCTCGGTTTCCTCTCCCATCTCCAGCCACAGTTCCCAGCCTGGCCCACCTCCATACGGTGTGATTCCCCGTGCCCTTTTAAAAATCAGAATTATAAATAAAGTCGTGCGAGCAAAACTTTTACGCGGAAAAGGAAATAAAACGTTGGGGTTGTTACGTTGTTGGAGTAAGTCTAGATTTTGCCGTTGTGGAAGTGCCTTTGCAGAATCTCGTCAGAATCACACACAACTGCCCACCATTTCCCGGTTTTGGAAAAGAGACCTGCCCCCACCCCCCTTCCATAAATGAAAGGAATGGCTCAATGCTCGAAGGCAGTGCGGGCCCTAACACACACAGGCCCTTGCGGCGCGGCGCTCAGGAGAGCTGGAGTGTGGGCCCGGTTTGGAAAGACTAGTGCCGGGCCCATACGACTGGCAGAAAAAGCGTCAGGTGGGCAGCCTGGGAAGGGGTAGGGGCCAGAGGAAGGAGCCCTGCCTAGAGATCCACGAGTGCTAGTCGTGGCCTTGGCAGCGTTGGTTCCTTCCTCCTACACACGCCAGCGGGCACCGAGTGTGCAGAGGTGGACAGGCCGGCCCTTGCTCTCGGGGAGCCAGGGCTCTTCTCCTGCCCTTGATGACTGCAAACAGTAAGTTTACAGCTGGAAGCCGGGACTTGGGTGACAGGAGAGGGAAGGGCTGTGTGCGTGTATGTTTGTGTAGGGGGTCTCCTTCTCCCTAATCACCCAAGTCTCCCTGAGGGGCAGGTCGTCTCCGCCCCCTCAGCCTCCCTCGCGCAGTGGCGGTGCTGATCCAAACAGATAATCCCCCGAGAGCGACCCCGCCAAGGTTCTTTCATATGTAAGGTAGTGCATTGTTATTACTTCCCGGCCTCTGGGAGCTATCCACAGGCTCTGCCCGCAGCTTCCCTATTTCCCTCCTTCCGGAAAGAGGCAGAGGCCTAGGCGGCCTCCCAGGTTCAAGTCGTCCGGCCTGCATTGGGGTTCGAGTGCTTTGGGGAGGCGGTTAAATGTGTGGATGGGGAAAGCCCACTTAGTGTTATTTCCGACCCCTTCCTGGCCGTAAACACATCAGGAAAATCGCCGTCTGGAGGGAGAGCATCTTCTGGGCTCCAAGAATCTATGTCCCTAGAAGTCCAGCTTCCATGTTTTCTTTGACCCTGGTGATCTTCTGGGGAAGGGCCTGGGGCGGCAGCAAAAGGCCGC